GCCTGCCCATGCTCGGTCTCCACAGGCGCTACACCACGCGGCCAAGCCTGCCCATGCTCGGTCTCCACAGGCTCTACACCATGCGACCAAGAACACCTACCCCCCCCCCTGCGCCCCGTTTTTGCAGGCTTGCACCACACGGCCAAACCAGCTTGCCCATCCTCAATCTCTACTGTTTCACGCCACACAGCCAAACCAGTCCACACTCGGTTTCTGTAGGTTCTACGCCACACGGCCAAGCCTGCCCATGCTCGGTCTCCACAGGCTCTACACCATGCGGCCAAGAACACCTACCCACCCACCTGCGCTCCGTTTTTGCAGGCTTGCACCACACGGCCAAACCAGCTTGCCCATCCTCAATCTCTACTGTTTCACGCCACACAGCCAAACCAGTCCACACTCGGTTTCTGTAGGTTCTACGCCACACGGCCAAGCCTGCCCAAGCTACGTCTCCACAGACTCTATGCCACGCAGGAAAGCCTGCTCGCGCTTGGTTTCCACGGGCTCTACATCACGCAGCCAAACGCACCCGCCCGCCCATGCTCACTTTTTGTGGCCTTACACCACACAGCCTAGCCCGCTTGCCCACCATCAATGTCTGCTGGCTCTACACCACGCAGCCCTGCCCGTCTGCTCTGCCTCAGTCTCCGCTGGCTCTAGGCCACATGGCCAAGCCCACTTGCACTTGATCTTCACAGGTTCTACAAGGATACAAAACATGAGCACACTTCGCAGGGGTTCAGATTCCAGGCAGAGCAGGGACCGGGGACCAGCAAGAGCACCAATATGTTTTTTTTTTTTTTTTTTTAATGAATCACTTAAGAATGAATAGCCCCATGCCTGTAAGCAGATGTACAATTACCCAGATCTGTTACAGGGCCACTTTACAGGAATGTCACATGACTGTATAGCTCTGTTTATCTCAAACAATTTTAGACAAAACTTCTTTGGTCCACTGTAAAAAAACTGTAAAAAAAGAAAAGTGCTTCAACTCCTTCCTCGGCATCTTGCTACATACAAAAAGTCAAACTATCAGCGAAAATCTACGTGTGAATGTGAGTAGCTCAAAAGAGGAGAGTTGAAGTTTTGTAAGGTTACATTGAGAGGAGAAAGGAAAATATCTGAGAAAAGAGAAACAGTCAATCCCCTTTATTTATGGAGTCACACTGTATGCTACCCTCAGCCACACAGGCTCAGTTGCAAGGCAGCCAGATCCGAGAGCAGTTCCTGCCCATGGCCACTAGGGGCCGCACCACTGCAACATAATAATTGCTAAAGTTGACGTCATGCACGTAGGGTGCAGGCTGGTAGTAGCAGGTGACATTGGCACAGGCAGGGATGGCGTGCTGCTCAGCCAGCATGCGCAGCGCCAGCGCTGAGATCAAGCGCAGTGTCTGTCGTCGCTCGTGGCCCATCAGGCAGACAGTGCTCTCGTCTACCACACGCCTCAGTGTGCCCAGGTACGCATAGCGCTGGTGCTCCACACCGGCAAAGTGGCTCTGCAGGTAGGCCTCCAGCTTGTGTCGCTGTTCACTGATGTCAGGGAAGTCGATGAAGAAGCGCGAGCACATGTAGCGCTGCAGTGACTTCATCTCCGCCTCGGAGGCCGCCCGGAAGCCCCTCACCAGCAGGTGGCAGTATTTCAGCAGGCCACCACCCCGGATCTCCTCGGGGCTGCGCGTGGCGATGGTCCTGTTGTGCAGGTGGCCCAACGCCTCCAGGAAGTCACCGTAGACACTCTCGCCCAGCACGGTGGGGTGGAAGCTCTCAGACATTGGCGTCTCAGAGCAGCAGCTAAACAGCAGCAGCGAGTCCAGTGCAATCTGGAAGGAGTCCACACTGAACTCGAACTGCCGCCGCAGCGAGTCCACGAACTTCAGCTCCACATTCTTACCCGTGTTGTTGGAGAGCGAGATGAGGCTCCAGCGGTCCGTGTCGTTGCAGACCTTCACCAGCTTCTGCACGTAGGCCTCCTTCAGAGTCAGGGGTGTGAGGCGTCCCTTGTTGACCCCGGCTGGCAGGAAGTCCAGCAAGCAGTCCAGTACCACATCCATCACCAGACGGAAGGCCTGGTCATCTGCCAGCCTCAAGCCAAAGATCAGGTCCAAGTCCTTGTAGCCCAAGCCCGTGTCCCAATGCAGAACATGGCTTGCTGCAGAGCCATTCAGCTTCACGTCCTGGACCACCAAGCCCTTCTCCTCCAGCCGTGCCCGAACAACCTGAATGAAGAGGACAAGTGCGTTGGCTCCGGACCAAAGGCAACATGCTCATAGGGCAGGCTAGATGAAGCCATTCTTGCCTGGGACAAAAACTATGCAATGCAATGCAAATAAAAACAACCAACACATATATTCTTCATTGTTTTATGATTAAAAGAAAAAAGAAAAAAACTAAGAATGAAACAAAATTTAGTATCTGAAGGTAAAAGAAGAGGGAGTTTTAAAAATACTTAGAGTAGGGTATTTTATATCAATCATCTACATTTCTGCCAAACACATATCATTGCAAAGTAACAGCAAGTGATTCAAAAAGCATCCAGATCGGCATAATAAGTGAGAGATAATCACTGTGAGCAGAGCGTGCTGAGGAGCTGTAGCTCAGTCTGCTGGCAGGAAGAGGGTCCACAGGGGAGCAGGACAGCTCCAAGTGTTACATAAGCTCAGGGTGGGCAGAGATCCAGCTGTGCAAAGGTCAGTTTGCCAAGTGCTTCCCTCTAGTGGCCATCCCAGCACAGCAGCACCCTCAATCAAAAACAAAACACGCTGGGACATCAGCAATGCAGGGCATTGGCACCATGCATCTGGTGTGACACTCACGCTTTCTGACTCTCATGCTCAGGCAAGAAATCTTATGGCAAACATATTATTGCGTTATAAACGTACAATTAGCTACATCAAAAGCATTCGCGTAGTTTGCAAACCCTACAGACTATTTACAAGGTAATAAAACTGTTACATACATGTAAATATGTGTGCAGACTAGTCTCAAATTGAAAATCTCACACCAGCCAGCTGACCAAAGTTGGGAACCCTGCCAATACCTGGCCCATCCTCCAGCAGGCTCAGCTGCCCTTTAGTTAGGTTATACCTGAAGCTAATTCAATTCATTTTATATAGTGTATTTTCACAGCATTACATTGTCTCAAAGCACTTTACATTATCACTGCCCAAAGCCCGCAGTGAGCAAGCCAGAGTCTCTTAGTGGCAAGGAAAAACTCTCTAGAAGGAAGAAACCTTGGGAGGAACCAGACTCAAAGGGGGGGGGGGCATCCTCCAGGGGTCGGCAGAAGAAGTCCAAAATAAAGTAGAACTGTGTATAGTCCAGGTACAAATGCAGAAGATCCAGTGGAATTGCGGAAGCTGATACCAGGACAGGCCGGTGAGGAAGCTGCTTCCTTCGGTCGCTGCGAAGCGACAGCCTCTGCACAGCACCACAAAGTGAACAGACAGGAATAGCTGGCAAAGGGGTTTACTGAACTGATCGGAAATCTGATTCATCTGGTCATTTCTGATGTATAAAAACTAGGCATAAATCTCAATATAAGTGGCATGGAATATAACAGAATTACGCAGAGAGCCAAGACCATATAGCACACGCTGAGCCTATACCATGTAGCACACGCTGAGCCTATACAATATAGCACATGCTGAGCCTATACAATATAGCACACACTGAGCCTATACCATATAGCACACACTGAGCCTATACCATATAGCACACACTGAGCCTATACCATATAGCACACGCTGAGCAAAGCCACTGAGCAATTCTGCTGTTACCTTGAGCAAAAGCCACAGCAGTTACCCTCGGCCGCCTCGGCCTGGGCCACCAGTCACCAGCCTATTATTCAGCGTGCTTGTCCGTTCTAAAGCAGTATGTTTCAGTGCTTCATAAATATAATAATTAAGCTGTTAACTCAATGAGTCCCACAATTTAAATAATCTTTCACTAAATATACCAATGCATACTAAATATACAATCTTCTATACAATTCTATGCTTAGGGCAGGTCATTAAGCACACACTACCTCGGACTGACACATGGTACACATTGTACTCAAACACTCATACTGTAATAGGATGGCTGTCTTTGTGTTGCTCTTATTCCTCTTATTTATTACTCTAACTTATACTAACTTATATAAACAGAGAACTGCTAAACTGTTTTTCACTGTTTTTGTAATAGTGACAATAAAGATCTATCTATCAGGCAATCGGAAAACGGATGTATGAAGAATAATCTAAACATCCTTCCCTGCCTTAAATTGAATAAAGCAGTTTACATAATTTTAATTAATGATATTTGAAAAATTTCCCGCAGGAAAATGCCCATAATTAATTATAAGGCCTGCTGTAAAGAGACAGTGACCTTTGTAATAACCACTGTTCTTTGGATCAATTGCTTATCGTGGAAAACAAAATGTCACCGAGCCCAACTTGTATGGGGCAGAGTGACAGGGCAGAAATGGAAGTAACTGCCTCATGCAGCAGCCCCCACCACCGTTACGAGGCTCCTGGAATTAAAAAGGGACTGAAGGACTGGCCCCATTCTGAGATTTAAGTGATGCCAGATGTTAACACTAAGGGGCCTATAACTCAAATGAAAAGCCCCCATCCACTGCGGAATCCACTGTCAGAACAGATACATGAATATCCTGACAAGCTCACCTCTCACCACGAATCATATACTGGGTCTGTCTGTTCTGACCCAGAAAGGTAAGGAGCTTGCACTGATTACAGCACGTTGCCAAACCACCACACGACAAACTAACTCAGGGATGAGAACCTGAGTGCAGCCATGTGGCAGGTGATACCTCAGCACCACACTAGTCCTAATGGACCAGCGTGAGGTTTTTCCCCAGTAGCTGCAGTGCCAATCCTGCCACCAAGCCCCAAATTATTCCCTGTAAATTGGAGGACCTCCTTACTGGGCTGGATGTAGATTAACATCATACCCAGGATGAAGCAATTGCAGGTTAAGGGCCTTTGCTCAAGGGCCCAACGGAGAAGAATAACTTCAAGCATTCACAGAATTTGAACCAGCAACCTTCTAGTTGCTGGCACAGATCTCTAGGCTCAGAACCACCGCCCCGCCGTTCTGACCCAGGAAAGAATCAAATCAATGGCTTCACATCAATGATCTGACTAAGCCCTCTGCTTCACAATGAGAGGGGAGAATGAGAATGTAGGTAAGTCTGCAGACGATGGCACTGCACTAGTCTGATGTGACAAAGTGGTTCACAGTAATTCTTCCATGTGTCCATTAACAGACACTTACCTGACCAAGCCTTCCTAAATGGCAAGGACAGAATAGGAGGAAGATGGATAGATAGACAAGGGCTCGCTGAGAAACATCATGAGGAGATCAGCATGACCTCAAGTGGCCTGTTCCAATGGAGAGGCAATCCACAAATTTATAAAGAAATTAGTCATCAACCACATTATCAGTCCCTAAGACATCTATCAGCTGTCCAGAGACAATGGACTCACTGACACCAAAAGCACCAGATGCACACAGCACCCTCTTCTACACTCAAATCCAGGCCATGTTTTTGGGTGACTATACTGGTACAAGTACTGGTTTTGTTTTCCATTCCTCTCTGCAACCAGGCCCTACCTGCCAGTTGAGCAAAGACAATAATCACAGTGATTATGAAGCTCTGCTGCCAGCAGAGGACGCTCATGTAAAGCTTTCAGTCACACGCCTGCTTTTCCAGTAGACAGATTACTGTCAGAGACCCGAGGCAGTGAGCATGTTCAACAGCGCACAAGTCAACCCAGTGGCAGCCTTCAGCTTATGGACAACCAGCCCTGATCCCAGTGCCCCCGTGTCCCAATTAGACCGCAAGCAGCCCCGATCCCAGTGCCCCGGTCTCCCAATCAGACTGCATGGACACTACACACACGTAGCTGGAGGTACAAGAATTAAGTGGCTAAATGCTACAGAGACATTTTTTAAATTCAGAAAACACTGGTATTATCATCCAGGCGCATGGATTCCATCCCCCCAGACACTAGGTATTAGAGACCCTAACTCTACATCAGCAGCAGAAGGGTTCTCCTCTCCAGTCTGTCATCACTTAGGACTGCATAACAAAACAGCCACATGTATGTACATATGTGCAAAGAGTGGAGCCCTCAGGCACAGACATTTCACTACAAGCTTCACAAAGTAAGAGAATCTCTCTGTAAAGCTACTAATGGTTAATACAGACAGGCCCTCCAGTCACCATCAAAACACACAGAACTTCTGTTATTAGCTTGGGTACTAAAACGTTCCAAAAAATAATTAACTTTGAGGGGAGGAAAATACAAAAGGAAGAACACAGATTTATTCTTCAGGCTTTGAAAGTGCTTCAGATTGCTGAGGCTTTGCAGATCATGTGCTATAGCTATGCGCCATAAATGTGACTAATCGAACAGCATTCCGAGACATCGGGGTATCGTTTAAAGTAAATTTGCTTGACTAAATGAAAACGTCAATGAACAGATGCTCACAGCAAGTCACCGGTAGCTGACACAGAAACGGATTGTATAAGCAAACGATATTACGCCTGGATTTCCGTCGACAGTAATGACTCCTTTATATAGGACTTTCCGAAAAACAATTCTGCAGCTGAAAAATTATGGAGAAAGAAGTCCAAGCACTGTCAAAGAGTCGATTTGTCTATTTCACGACAACACAATGAGCCGTTTTAAAATCAGGTTTTAAACGCCGAAAAACCTGCGTTTCCATCTGTTTCTACGATGGTGTTTATGACATTTCATTTCTCTCCCTGAGTTTCCCTATGGTCACAAGATTATTATTTTTTACCGTCGATTCACGGCTTTGTGCTTTCGATAAATAAGTAATAAATTACGCGGAACCACCTTTATAAACAAGTTGCCATTATTGCCCAGCATTATTATATATATAAACTATTTTTACTATTGCTATAATTTTATACACACACACACACACACACACATATATATATATATATATAAAAATACGCACACACGCACATATATATATATAATTTTATACACACACACACACATATATGTGTGTGTGTGTGTGTGCGCGCGCGTGTGTGTATAAAATTATAGCAATAGTAAAAATAATGTGTATATATATATGTGTGTGTGTGTGTGTGTGTGTGCGCGCGTATTTATATATATATATATATATTGCTATAATTTTTACTATTGCTATTGCTATAATTTTATACACACACGCGCACAAGTATTGAAGAGGACGCCGGTTTCGGACCCAGGTCCTTTAGCTGTGCCGCTATACCTGAACGATGTGCTGAGGCTGGACAGACAACGTGGGGAAGTTGCCCCGGCCGTGGATGGGAACGCTCTCCCTGAGGATGGAGTCCAGGCGCTGCACCTGCTCCCAGGACAGGACGCAGAAACGCCGGCTGCGCTCCGGCGCATCATCGGAGGACATTGCGAGGCACCGCGCAAAACTTCCCTTTCCTCAGTAGAACTGGAACAGAAGCAGCTTATTGTTAAACTACCGTATTCAAATATTTGTATAAATTGCAGCAAAACTGTATATCATTTATAGAGGACAAAAAAAACAACTACAACTACAACTGAATGCTGCAGCGCTGAGCCTTTGCAGACGCACTCCGGTATCAGCAAAGGAAACCGCAATATGCACGATCTATAAGCGCACGGAAGCCGGTCCCAGACCCAGCGGGCTACATCAGAAACGCTTTTGTTGCGCTTTCAACCGGCTTTAAACCGGTTAAGATTAACATAAGCGTTCAATTGGTTGGATGCACGCTGAAGTGTCCTCCCTCCGACGGATGGCGGCGTTCACACCCCGCCTGCACTGCGTTCGCCCTTCGGGGTCTCTGTCAGTGAATGGCTGCAGCCCAACTTTTAAAATTACACAACCGCCTCGGTCTCAAATGTTTTACGCATCATTGCAAGGCCAACGATTATTCCTTATGTAATCGCACGTGATAGAAAGTCAAATACAAAGTCTCCAGTAATGTATCCTTATAATTTTCCCCTGAATTTCATAAGAAATCTTTAACACTGTACTGGCAAACGGCACCGACACCTACAACAGCCCTCGCACCAGCTCGGCTCATCATTGCTAGTTTGTCTTGCCAACTAGGAAGTTATTCGGGAATACTGGAGATCACACACTCACGAGGCCTACTTCCCGAGGCATAAACACTAGACACGTGGATTTTATCACACCTGTGCACCGCCATGTTTATATTCATGTTTATATATAATCAAGGTCTTCTGGACGCTCTTGGTTGGTAAGGATAACGCGACAAGTTTAAGGCCTTTGATAAAAATTACTACCTATTCTGTCATTAAACAGCAGAGGGCATCCGTTCCAGTTATCCAGCAAAAATTCCAGAAAAATGTCCCTCTCTCTTCTTGAATATCATTCGTTCTCTAATTATGTTTGCAAGTAAAAATTAAAGATAGCCATGTTATGCTTACATATTTAGAAAGATTTTAAGGTATGCATATTTTTTTTGCATATTTCATAGAAATATTAGCCATTAGAGAAGTCCTACTGCTGTCTGATAATGTATATAATACTAAAGTTTTATATTCTAAACTACGTAAATAATTGAAAGTATAAACATTTGAAATTTAAAAGAGGATGCTTTGGAGAAAAGAGCTGTTAAATGGTGATTTTAAAAACCAGCTTTTATATTTTTATGTGCCTAGGCAGCGAGAGGTTTGATCTGTACAGCTCTGCAAGGGTGTCAGAGATTTTGGGCCCTATGAAAGCATTTAATATGGGGCCCCAACCTGGGATTTTTTCGGACCCCTGTTGCTCAGGGACCACTAAAATCATTCTAACTGTCCCTCCATTATGGTGCCCCTGCAGCTATGTGTATAGAACTGACCAATTAACCAAAAGCAACAAGAACCTGGTGAATAGGTGAAAGTATACAAGGCATCTCACAGAAGTTGCTCATGTCTGCATCTGGCGGGTCCCAGAATGTATTCCATTATCACAACTGCTTATCCAAATCAGGATAGATTCATTCTTTCCTACAGCAATGTGTGTTGTGAATATGCTGGGTAAAATAGCAAAAAACTGTCTGCTTAGCCTAATGTTATGGTACAGTACACCGGCTGTAGTTTAATTGTTTCTTTCAATAATGAAATAATTTTGACAGCAAGGCATCTCAGTTGGTGTTTGATGTTAGCAACACTTGCTAACTAACAGAGAAATCTAATACCTGCAGGACTGAAAATCAAAGTATTTTATCCTTGTCCTAAGGGGCTACCTGTAAAGCCTTCTCCTATTAGGTCAGGCAGAGCAACATGCCTCATAACCTAACCATGGTGTGAATTGCAATGCGCTTTCATGAGTTTAAGGAAACTCGACAAACATCCGTAAGGTTTCATTTCTCTATACTGATTACAGATACTGGAACAAAGGGAGTTTTTATCATGTGTCATCAACACCTGCAAGTCAGAAAACAAATCATCTGTCTCCCCACTGTCCCAAAAAAGCAGATCTGTAAGGTTACTCTGAGTCCCAGTGATATACAGGACTGTGGGGGGGGAGCTTTAGTATAGACTTAACACCATGGTCATTGAACAGCATACGCCCTAAGGGCGGTGAGCAGCTCGAGTGAGAGCCTGAGGCCGATGTGTGAGCATCGTGCTCTGAGGGCCACGTGGAAACCTTTACCCCCATCCCCACTGCAATAACAGGCAGCGCCATGCTGGGCTAGCATGCAGCACCAGGCCCAGCAGGAAGCGGCAGTGCTGCAGGGAAAAGCCCAGCTGCAGACAAGCTCATAAAGCTGACACATGCTGCGACAGTAGCTGGCCCTGGGCCTTTGTGGAAGCCCTTTCCCCCACCGACTCCCTACAGCTGCAGCTGTTACAGCATCTGGCTGTTGGCTGCCACTCTGTAGCTTCCAAGCTGATGCTAAACCCTGGCTGGGGCAGGGCATGTGCTACTATCAATCTGATGTCACCTGGAGGAGACTCTCGCTGGTGCAATGCTACAGAGCTCTTCGGTTCATGTCCATGTTCAACCCAGCGCTAACTGTTAGCGGCAGGCTAAAGCGACATTCGACTGCGATGTCCATCAGCACTGTGGAACTACAGCATCCAGCAGCCTATTCGCCAATATGTAATTTCCCTCTGCCACACGTGATGTCTGTTTACAGCTTCCCATGGCCGTGTTAAAAAGGTGCCACTGTTTCTTCCTTGATGTCCATCAAACGCAGCCACCTTGCAGTGACGCAGTCAGAATGCCCGGGTGCGTTCCTCATTCTGTGTCCATGGCGCCTCTTCCATAACTGGGCCAGACAAGCACTGCTGCGTTGAAGTTCCTTTTTGTGTTGGAATACAATATTTGTGCATTATTTATATGAGTGATGCTTTTCAGTGAGTGAGGTAAGGTATTTTCCACAAAAATACTTTGGTATATATTGTACTGACCAAATAGCAGGTTTTGGTTACATCCTGACACGTTTAAACAGTATACACCCGTGTCTGCAGCTGCTGTGAGTTAAAGTCCAGATTATGACTGAACTGAGACAAATTACTTATCTGGTGATGCTGCTCCGTGACCACAGGGGCGCGATGTGTCGTGTGTTTCCTCCACAACAGGGAGTGAAAGCGGATGCTATGGAAATGTGGTGCATAAATGGAGAAAACCAATGAATTCGGCCTGAAAAACAGTGCAAAGACAGCAAGAGTGACAGTCATCACAGCCAAAGCAGCAAAAGAAGATTCAAGGTAACTAGAAAAATTCTTTTGCCCGAGTCCAGAAAATATGTCTGTCAGGTGTCACCTGCCGAAATGTAAGTCTCATTGTCATAAACAGAACAAGCAAAGAAGAAACGAGATAGTATTCTGGGAAAAACCCGACCTACGTGTCTGTGTGCTGGCCGATGCTATTGAAGTGTAAGTATGCGAACTGGTCTGGCAGCACTTCCGACTGATGGGAAATATTTGCTTTTTTTAACAAGCCATTTGCACACGTGCAAACCCTGCAGTCTTCCTTATGAGTGCAAATCCTGTGTAACAGGCCTGACCAAGTGCAAGATGTATGACAGGAAATCTACAGTAATTTACTGTTCCCACAAAGGCATCCAATAATAATCACATTACATAATCATACTACATTTTAAATATAACATCAGTTTATGTTTCCCATGCGATGGCAGTGATGTGAAAGCAGCCATCCCACCTGGGGGGAAGGGGCTGTAAGGGCCACTGGAATGCAGTGTCTGAAACAAGGTCCTGCTCTCTACCATCTGGCTATGGACTGACGGACAGGGGGTACATTAGACATGCAACAGCTGCCCCCACCTCCCAAAATTAGCTATCTACATAACACTACACAATACATAATGATTTGTTGTTAAAAGAACAATAAAAATGTTCCAGCAGACTGATGTCCTTTCTGACTTCTGGTCATTACATGACTGTATGGCCCACTGAGTACTTAGTATTCATCTTCATCAGCATGTAGCGCAACAACAATCTTTTAGCCTGTACGACTGGCAACTTCTGAACTCCGGTCCTGTGAAGTGGGCAAACACTGCAGTATTTACCTGTAACATTGGTCTACTGACACACATTTAATTATTGTTCTGATAAGATGTAGCACTGGTCCAGTTGAAATACTTTGTTGAAAAGTACAACTGTTCCCCCTCCATCCCCCTCCCCAAGCTGGCATGTAAACTCAGCCCCCCCCCCCCCGCTGACTGCCACTCAAACTGCTCCCCACAATCACAGCCAAGAAATGGGACCCAGATGTGTGGGCCAAGCAGGAGCCTTATTACCGTCATTTATTGCATCCCAGCATTTGAAGTAAAAGCACAGGCCTTTGAAGCTACCCCTGTATCCCAACATGTGCCTCATGTTTACATGGAGATCACTGACCTACTATATACTATGTTTGTTGGAGACATTAAAAGCTGATAGGTGACCATGGAGCTACCTGGATAATCTCTGCTTGTGGTGCTGCCGGGACAGCAGAGTCTCCTGCTGGGAGCCACACGGTCCCACAGACACTGACGCTGCACGTTCCACTCAGGAATCAGAAGCTCATGGTTCCCTGGAATGGGCATCTCTCTGATAGTTAACGATTCCTGCTTGTATCTTAACACGCAGCCTAATTGTAACACTGCCTTCAGCCACAGCTAGTGACGTTTGTACTGCAGACTTTGCCTTACTGTTCTATATAAGCATTTAAAGGTATCCTGTGTAACAGGCCATAAGCCTATTTCAGGCTACCGCTGTTCAATGGGGAACGACAGTAGTGACGCGGTTCAGAAGAGCTCCCCCCAGAGGGAACGAGGATGTATGGCAATAGTGCAGTGGTAGGCAACCAGCTGTGTTACCCAGAAAGTACATCATAAGAACACAAGAACAACTAATAAGTCAGAGTTGTTAAAACCTTATCTAGCTCTGATTTAAAGGAACCCAGGGTTTTAGCTTGCGCTACACTAGCAGGAAGACTATTCCATACTCTAGCTACACACTGTGTAAAGAAGTGCTTTTTCAAATCCAATTTAAAATGTTCTCCCGCTAATTTCCACTTATTGCCACAAGTTCTAGTATTTGAACTAATATTGAAGTAGCCATTTGGCTGAACAACATTCAGACCTGTTAGAATCTTATATACCTGGATCATGGCCTTCTGGAAATCTAAGTAGATGACATCATAGGCCTTCTTGTGATCAATTTCTCTTGTAGCTTCCTTAAAGAACTCAAGTAGCTTAATTCAACAGGATCTACCTCTCCTAAATCCATGTAGGCTATCCCTCAGAATGTTATTTGTATCCAAGTAATCTACCATTTTCACTTGGATTATAGCTTCCATTACTTTTCCAGTTATGCAAGTTAAACTGATTGGCCTATAGTTTGCTGGATTACTTCTATCCCCTTTTTTGAATATGGGCGTTATATTAGCATGCTTCCAATCAGAAGGTACCACACCAGCAGATAAGGATTTATGAAGCAGCAAAGTTAAAGGTTGGCAAATAATATCACTCTTTTTAAAACTATAGTTAAAATGCCATCAGAGCCCTTTTCCTCCTGACTTTATTTTTAATTTCCGTAGTAAACCTCCTTGGTTGCAGTTTTCTAGATTTAATTTTGCTGGAAACAGGTATGAAGTCCTCTTGCACTTGCAATAATGTGCTTTTAAAAAAATTCCCATGCCTTTTCAACAGTTTTATTTAACTCCACCCAGTTTACAGTTTCTAGTTTAGTTTAAAGTTCGCCATCCTAACATTGTATGTTTTGGTTTCGGACTTTGCTAAAGTCTAAAATTAACTTCAAATTTAACCATGTTATGATCAGTACCTCCAAGTGGATCTAAAACCCCAAATTTCCCAATCCTATCCTGGTTATTAGAGAAAACAAGATTGAGAATGGCTTCTCCTCTGGTAGGGGATTTAACAAACCGAGTACAAAAACAATCCTGTACAAATTCCACTATCTCAAGTTCATTTACAGAAGGGCCAGAGACTGTATCCCAGGTAAATTAAAATCACCCCTAACCACCACATCATTTTTATTACTCATCATCCTGATATCATATAACATTCTGCTTTCTGCTGCAGCTACATTAGTTGCTCTATAACAAACACCGACAATTAGGCCATTTGAGTTTTTAGCATTTAGTTTTATCCATACAGCTTCTGTACTTTTATTTTTATCAGTGAGCTAACTTGCCTGCAAGTTTTCCTTTACATATACTGCAACACCACCTCCCTTCTTGCCTATCCGGTCTCTACGGAACAACGTGTAACCATCCATATTATATTCTTCTCCATCATTGTCACTCATCAGTTACTCCTATAACATTATAAGAGTCAGCTGGTTGCAGGTCTACCAAAGAGCCAAAAATGTTATAATATAATTACCAAAGACAAGAAATGAGACAAGCACACTTTTGATAATGGCAAGAGGGCTGGTATAAATGCCCCCCCCCCCCCACGTGAGAGTTTTGGGAGGGGAGTGCAATTTGTGGATGAGAGAGTGATGGGGTGGTAATTAATAGTAAATGTGTTAATCGTGCTAATTTATGCTAAGAAACTCTCTGTAAATCTCCAAAAGGGTTGAGGTTGCAGAAATCAGGCCACAGAAGAAGTAAATAGAGAGATGCGGTAATGGGGTGAGAGAGAGAGGCATCACCATGATTAAACAGGATACAGAATCTGTCCCGCTTTCCTGCTGTTTTTTTTCCTAGTCTCACAGTACAGACACACAGACACAGAGCATAACCACAGACGTTAATGTCCTACTGCCCAAAATCACTGGGAGGACTGATAAGGGGCGACGTGCTGCAGCAGTGTGGAGCCACAGGAGCAGCTGTGTTTCTGCACTGGGTAATACACATATGACATCACTTAATGACAGGGTGAGACAGGGCCTCTGCCCAGCCAGCCACTGTCAGCCTTTCCATCCACATGCAACCCCAGCTGCTGCTGGCTCTTTACAAGAGGAGGGGAAACCCTCCAGCAGTCTGCTTGAAAATTGGGGGAGTGGGGCCACAGGCAGTAAGCGGAACAGACAATCCTTTGTGTGGGTAGGAGCAAATATCACTCTCAGCAGCGCCTCCTACTGGCAGGGCAGCGCATGTCTGGAATACGTGCCAGGTTAGCAGAATAACAGCCTCAAAGGCTGGTAGCTTGGCAGGCCTGCTGAGGGGGAAAGATCAGGCAGTAGGCAGAATGTTCAGGCAGCAAAGTGCATCTCACCAGTGGATCTGACACAATCCTGAAACCTAAAGCCAGCAGCACTGGGTCTGAAGTCACTGTGATGAGGGGCACCTTGGCTGCCGAGCTTCCGCGGGCAATCAGCTCTGTTTTGAAGTTTCCTACGACCTTTTTGCCGTCGGGGATCAATAAATTACCTGTAACAAATTTAATGTATCCTCTGAGCTGCTGTGTCATCATTATGGATCTCAGTTTGGAAGTTTCTCTGCAGGCACAATACTTGCCTGTGTGAGGGGCCAGAAAAAGCTGATTAAAGTTTATAAACGACATGATGGGGGTGGGTGGGGTTCCTCCTCCACAGGCATCCCGGGATGGGTGGGGTTCCCCCTCCACAGGCATCCCGGGATGGGCGGGGTTCCTCCTCCACAGGCATCCAGGGGTGGGCGGGGTTACCCCTCCACAGGCATCCCAGATGGGAGGGGTACCCCCCTCCACAGATATCCAGGAGTGGGCGGGTTCCCTCTCCGCAGGCATCCCCTTGGAAAATGCTGATACTTGAACACCTCAGGAATTTTACCCAGCAGTTAAATCTATTGATATTTTCCTAGGCAGAACCTTCTCTAGCCTCAGATTCATTAAACATATTTTTTGCTCATAAGTTCAGATCACAGCAGAATTAAAACATTGACAGGGTCTATGGATTAAGAGAATACAAACCAATATTAACACACACTATAATCATAGTTCCTGTTCCTTCTTACTAAGGATACATTTCGCACAGAATTTATTGTGAAGAAGGCCATAGCTTCTATGGAACTGGTTATGCCCTGTGGTTCTGTGCATGCCTGGGGGGTTGGGCCACCCTGTGGTTATGCCTCACGTGAGAGGACACTCAAAGACTGTAATGCTATGCGTGTGGTTCTGGCTTAAGTGAGAGGACACTCAGACAGTAACCTCTTGTGCCGTTTCAGTTATTTGCTTTATTCTGAATCCTTGGCAATACCAAGGCTCTTCTCAGAGGCTCCCCTTTCCTACAGTTAGCACAGTACTTTATTAGGGCTGCTTTTCATTCGAATATTAATTTTATTGTCATTTTGCCAAAGACTGAATATTTATATTTGACTTTTCAGCAGTATGCTGTTGTTGAACAAAAGACACTCAGACTCAAGTTAATCATAGTACTTATTACATGAAGCAACCCTCATATCATCCTAATGCTGGAAAGCAATATTTAAGATGAAACAGCCAAGATGATTTAAGTATATAGTTTGGGATCCTTCTGATAGCTCACTTTCCTGGTGACTGAATGTGCAGGAATATTCTCTGAGAGCCAAGATGCCACTTTACTGCCCTCTATTGGAAGTCAATATTATCACCACACCAGACGCAAACCTTGAGTATTACTTGAATATCACTATTGAACAACAGGAAAGCCAAACAAAATCATAACCTAATGTAGTCCTATTTTTGTCACACTGATATGAAAAGATTGTTTACCAACCGAGTTGGTAAACAATGTGGCACTCAGGTACTCAGCCAGCTGCGTCCCAGGCTTTGCCTTTGATCTGTTTGGCCTAAGAGTGGTTCCCAAAATAGTAGCAGTACTGCAGTTAATGAGTCTGAAAGGTCTGGAACAACAAACAATGTCCACAAATGTCCATCTAGCCTCTCTGTTTCCAGAGGGATATTTTTGCCAATGTGGGCAAAGATGACAACACTGGGAGCTAGATAAGCAAAATAATATCATGTTCATTTGTTTATTTAACATTGGAATTAACGAGCCCTTAGGAAACAAAAAGGAAAAACAACAAGCACTAGCAAGTTTAGTCAATCCTGCTCACCAGTTTTCACAATGGGTTTTAGGAACACTTTTTCCACACATCTGCCAATAAGAACCTCCAATGAGCCGGAAGAGGTGAACCTACAGTCCTGCCTCGCACGCAATAGGTGTGTGTGTGGGGTCACCTCTCCAGCACCGATGTTATGGTACCACGGTCCGTGACATGGATGTAAGGGCTTCTGGGGTGAAGGCGACCAGTGTTACCTGGTTTACATGGTTCTGTGCAAGTTCTGCAGTTGGCAACAAAAAGTAACAGGAACACTCACTGGCAGAGGAAAACTGGTTGTATCAATCATTCATTCACTCACTCAGTTACTCACAAAATCCACATGAGGAACCAAACCTGCCAAACATACAGGGAACCTGTAAAGATCACAATATGACTCTGCACCCACATTATGGCAAGTAGCCTTGTATTAAATATCAAGTATCACAATCCCCGTTTCCAAAAGGCAAACTAGGTCCAGTGAGGGACCCGAATCCCAGAGATAGGTCCAAATGCAAAGCACTGAAGGGTCAAGGGAAGGTAGATGTTGCAAGAGGTCCACCAGAGCAGCCGCAGCCAGGTTAACATCACCATGAGAAAGGCTGGGCTTCCCTTTCATTGCTGTTTTATCACATGAGCGAGTAGGTCAGACAGACACCTGACCTTCCACGGAGGATGTCACATCTTAGCTGGATTTCTAAAAGCTCTACAGCTCAGAACAAATAATCCACTCTTTTGCTGTGCTCTCGCTGATTATGGCCAATAATTTACCACAATCCCTGATGTGGTTGAAGGGGTGTGAACAGATCCTTTGATCAGAATCCTTGTTTCACCTCGATTCACAGACCATTAATGTGGTTCAGATGGTAATCAAGTCTATCCTTTCCGTCCTGGAAGTGACTGTTGAATCATCCAGTCCTGGGAGATCTGGTGAGTTGGTAATTTCCCAAAATAAAGCATTGCAGCTTGCTGAAGAGGGCTCTGATAATTTCCACGTGCTCACTGACTCTGGGTGCTGGTTTGGGCCTGTTTGCTGGGTTATTGCTGGGAGGATGGGGCCCAAAAGCACTTGGAGGTCCAGATCTGAGACTAGCTGTTCTTGTCCGGAGATGAGTCAAAGCTAACGTGACACATCCCTTTAGTAGAACAAGGTCTGAGACACAAAGACGGGGCTTGTTGGGGCCCTCAGTTCAGGTCATGGGCACTGTGAAAATGCCCTTTCTCCCCACTCACACGCTGGTCCTGTTCGGAAACTGTGTAATCTGTATTTTGGCAATATCTGCTGTCCATTATGCAAGTAATCCTGAGCAGATTCCCACACTGGAAAGGAGCACCTTGGGACTCCACCTTGGGCAGAGGGTGCTGGAGGGAGCGGCAGGCAGAGCACGCAGTGCAGAGCACGCAGTGCAGCAAACATGGCTCTTTGCGAAAAGAGGGGAAAAAATGCACATACAGTCATAAATGTTTAATCTGCAGCAACATTTAGCAGGTTCTCAGGGGACATCCAGGGTATGAAGTAACACCCATGATAAACAGAACTTAGGTGCAGTAACTGGCACCAACGGTGCAACTGAGCCACAAGAGGAGCTGGCAGGTCGTCACTGCAAACTGCAGGATGAAGTTCCTGCTCTGTGAAGGTAACCAGGTCACCACTGCCATTCACAGCAGCTGCTGGGGGCAACACTTCTACATCAATTAAACTAGGTTTCTCCCTAAAATATAAAAGCCCTTGTAATTAATAGAAACATTCCCAAAGGAAATTCTGAACAAAACCATACCCCTCCCCCCCCAAAAAAAACTGAATTCAAGAAAAACAGGAAATAAACATTTAATTTTGTGCAAAAACAAACTAAATTTTTGCTCCTTAAACAGGAATATGAACACCCATGTAAAACTGTCAGTGTTTACTTTTAATAGTAAATGCATTGAAACTTGTGAATGCCAAAAAGAAAAGGTGACAGACTCATTAAGGATTTCTAAGCTGCCCATGACCCTGCAGACAAGAACTCAACAGGCGGTTGCAGAATGCCATGTCTCACCATTGCTGATATATTGGCATCTTACATGAAAGCTGGGTTCTCATTTCTCTGTGGTTTATTTTGTTTGAAGGACACCCACATGAAGGTACTCCTAAACGATTTCCATTCGTAAACCATTGCTAGGGTCTGTGGACTGAAATACTTAAAACGGTCTTCATGGCACTTTTCCTCTGCCACCAAAAACCGAGGTGTACCGCAAACGCCCGATCTTCCATAGTAAAGTATTTCAGCCATACCTAAGCCATACCCAACCTGACAAAGCATCGCTTACTAATAGGGCCAAAAGCGTGACCAGGCTAAGCCGTCTGTGTCACCACCACCTGATTGGTCGAAATGCATGGAGATTCTGGTGTTCTGCGAGTGGATAATCTGAAGGAAAAAGTGTATATTCTACACAGTTTTCATTATTAGTAGTATCACATGTTGCGATGTATTAATGCATTACCAATAACTCTGAACTTGCGAATTTCCAGCCTTATACCTAAAAAAGTACCGTAGAACAGCTGAACAGAATGGATTTGTAATGCAAATTTACACACGCTAACTATTCTCACAGATGCGCTGGTGGATAACTGCAGTGGAAAAACTGAAGCAAGCTGGACCCGTGCTGTAACTAGTGTCTCTTCACCGTACGGCTCGGTTCCTGTATGTCAGTGGAAAGGTGCCATTAGTGAGGCCTGCTGAGGCAGCAATGAGTCATACCATGCTGGTTTACTCCAGGTTCCTCAAGGCTCTTACCTGCTGAACTCATCCAGTGCAAGACACAGCAAAATCTTGACAGCTGTCCTCCTGTTGGAGGGTGACAGATTAGGGTCCCTATGGGTGTGTTTTTCCAAAAGAATTTAGACGTAATTCAATATGTGTGCTTTCTAAGGCCTCCAGATCTGAAGTATAGGCAACGAAGATCACACATTTGCATTTGAATTTAATATCAGCAATTTAAAGTCTGACAGAAAACATATAATACTAACGTAACATTCAACATGATCTGATATCAGGCTAATTTCACAGTGAAAGAGCAGAGATGTACTCTACACCTCAAAACATTATGGAGTGAAGACCTGAGAGAAAGAGTGAGTGAGTAAATTAGAGACAGAAGCAGAGGAAGATAGATAGACAGAGAGAGTTACAGAGAGAGGGATACAGAGTGAGAGAAAGATACACACACGGTTATGCAGTTACGTGAAGTAGCAGGCAGACTGAGAAAAGGAGAGAAGATGAGGGACATCCTGAGGAGAAGGAAGGCACATCTTACCATATTGATGTCGGTTTTGGCCCCAAAGCCAAGGAGCTCAATCTCTGGGGGGGCAGGAGCTGCTGCAGGTGAATCCTCTGCAGGCAGTAACCCCCTCCTGTCAATCAAGCTGTGGCAGCCATAAAACACAAGAGCAGGGCAGCTTTAGGGGGAGGGGGCACCACCTCCCCCAGGAGACACCACCTCCCCCCATCTGCTTTGGAGGTCTACATCCAGAGCTGGCACCCATATTAACTGTCCTTCAATTGAGCTGCTGACGTAACCATACAAACTGGATAGGAAGCACATGGCTGAAGGGTGTGCCGCAGCTGGAGAGAGCGGCCATCACCTGGGAGGCAAGGGCCCGCAGAGCACGGCACAGCAGTTGGTAAAGATGCTGTTGTAGCTGTAGGGATTCCCAGCACTCTGCAGTCCACTGTTCCCCGACCAGGATCCTTTTATCTGCATGTGGGGACCAGTCGTGCGCAAACGGAGGAAGGCAGACACACGTAAGTGCCAGGTCTGATGAATCTTATCAGAAGCACCAAATATTACACATCTGGGGATTTCTGGTAATACTCACATCTTCATTGGTGGTGAGATTAGAGGCCACAAGGTAGGTATGGAACCCGGAAAGGCCCAGAATGGACCAGACAGAGAAGAAGCACACAACCAGCTCCAAGGCAGTACAGCAGAAGGCATTAAGGACTGTGGAATGCTCTGGCATCACCATCATCATCAACCACCCCTTAGACCAGTCTTATGTATATATGCATGCAAGCATGTAAGCACGGTGGCTCAGAGGTTAGCACTGTGGCCATCACACCTCCAGGTATGTGTGTATAAAAGTATTACAGTCCTCACGATGTGATTAAAAACCTGGTTATACTGACCTTGTGGGGACATTTTTCCAGAAGGAGAAACCCAATTTAATAAAAATCTATGGCTGCTACTAAAGACACCAAAAGCCTTGAGTTTTGTTTGGTTACTTATGGTTAAGGTTAGGGCTGGGTAGGGGTTAAGACTGTCATAGTTAGGATTAGGATTAATGGACGGTCCTCAAAAAGATTTGACTGTAAAAATGAGTGTATTTGTGTGTCTGTGTCATTTTGACTGCCATCCTGCCTCGGGCCCCAGACAGCAAATGGCACAAACTTTGGGTATGAAGGATATCTGGCTGGGCTCTCCTGGAGGGCAGAGATCACACCTTTTCCACCCTGGGAACCTGAGGCAGGAAGATGCATGTTAGTCACGAAACTCTGAAAGACTGTGGGGCATCATGTGGAGCTGGGAGGCTAATAAATGACCATGCAGCCGGGCTCACATTAGAAGGGGCACTTGGAGTAAGTCAGCACTGTGCAGAAAGCTTGGCCAAAAAGGTCTACTGGTACCCCAGAGAACACCTGCCTCTGAAGGCTACACTCCTTATTGCCTCTGTAATAATTAGATCTTTACTGAAGGCTGAGGGCAGTAATTAAACAGCTTCTTTAGGGAAACCTCCAAGGGCTCCAGTGGGAATCCCAGCAACCACTGGGCCTGGCAGCATCCGCACATCATTCATAATGCAGAGCCGTGAGCCGCCACACAGGGCCACTGGCTGCCAGCAACAGCAGTATCAGTATCAGTGTCACTCCTAAGTGCAGCAGGGAACACAGTGAAAGAGGACGACGCTTCATATAAGCCGAACCAGCAGAGCCGCCGGACCCAGACTGGCGGAACCAGCCCAACACGGCACACAAGACACCCCGAAAGTGGGCTGACAATAGCAAAACAAGGCATGTAAGCAGAGGGCCGAAGAACCAGACAGAGCAGAGTGAAAGCGGATACTCACGCAGGGCCAGGTGCGTGGTCACACAGCCGAGGACGAAGGCCGTCAGGAAGGACAGCGAGACGATGAAGGTGTAGAAGAAGCGGTAGTTCCGCCGGCCGACACAGTTTCCCACCCAGGGACAGTGATGGTCAAACCGCTCTGTGGCGAGAAAAGGTCACAGACAACCAATAATGACTCACATCCCCTAATAATATTAAGCACTTGAATACAAGATACAAAGGGGTAAAAACCAGATTCTTGCGACAGGAAATTATGAGAACGCTGCTTTGTGTATGATTTTGTTTATTATCCTTCAGAGATGACAAAAAAGGACTGTGCTAAAGAAAATTAGATGCTGTCAGAAAGACTACAGTGTATTCCCTGGACAGCCCATCATCACCGCGACACCATCTAATCCAAAAATCCTCCCCCATCCCCCAACCTCTACAAACTCTACCCACCTCTCCAAAAAAATTCTTATTAAAAGTCCAACTTTGAGTGACTTGTTTCAGTGCACTCGGGATTGCCAGATCCGTGTCTGTGGCTGCCCTTTCATGTCCCACCACTAAGAGATAATGCTTCAGTTTTGGTATGATGCGTCTCAAAACAAAAAACATAGATTTTTTTCCCCCATATAATGTTCAATGTCAATTGCCTCATGCAGTCAACCTTCCCTTTACTGCCACTAATCAGCATCGCTTCAGTTTTGTGTCTCAAAATTAAATATGTTCCAGAGCTGCCAAATACATTGAGACAAAACGATCAAGGGTCTGTAGAGGCAGACCAATCTTAAAATTGCCCCTCTGAGGAATATAATAATACAGCTGCCCAACAAAATGTAAGAAAGCAAAATCAGTACAGAGCAAAATATGTGGTGTGGAAACAAATACTGGCAGAGGTTAAGTTAAACTGTCAGGGCTCGAACAGTAAGGGAATTCCCAACCCACCCCCCTCCTCACCCACACAGTTGTCACACAGGCTGCAGTGAGAGGTCCGTGGCGGCCGGAACATCTTGCAGGTGAAGCAGTACTTCAGCTTCACCACCTGCTGGTTGATGAGAACCTCCCGAACTCGAGGTGGTGGACGGTAACTGGAGGAACTGGAACTGTCTATAGACACAATAAAAATAAAAAAAAAAAAGAGGAAAGTCAGGTCAAGAAAGGGAGGCAAAAAGGTTCAGAAACTGAACAGCAGAGCTACTCAAATAAACCATATCTGAATCCCTCCCAAGGTAATTCATAACCAATGCAACCGAATGATGCCCAGATTCTGTACTACAGCTGTGTAGACGTGTCCACCTGAGCAGGGAAAGAAAGGCATTCCGATAAGGTGCTCACCTATCTGCTTCTCGATGTCAGCTGCCTCGTCGGGCGTGGCCCTGGGGAGGATGCCTGGGTCACTGAAGCTGGTCTGGAGGAGGGAGATGACCACAAAGGTGAAGAGAACTCCTCCAATCACAGGGATGCAGCTGGTCACGTGCTTCACCAGGAAGGGGCAGCTGGGGGCGGGGCCAAGAGGGAAGACGCTTGATTCGGGAGCCATCTAATGTCGTTCTAAATGAATGAATGCACACTTGCCGGTACAGCTTTGCAGACACTCCTTAACCTGCTTCCGCGTACAAAAGCAGCCATTTCAAAAGCTAATGTGTTCAAAAAGCTTTACAGGTCGAGTCTGGTTTGGTTTTTAAGGGAAACACACTGGGCGCCATAGTTACCGCTAGGTATTAATACAAAATACTTGAGCGTTTAGTTTGAAAGATCAAAACTCAAAACCCCGTAAAACAGGATGAGCACATACTTAGACTGGTATTTTACTTGTCGCCCTCACACTAACAATGTGTATGCAGATACCAGCTGCCGAGGTGAAGCATGTTGCTCCCGTGCCGGCACTGGCCCCAGATTAACGAAGGAATGAAAGCGAGCCGAATGAGCGTGTGGTAATGGCAGCACTTACTCAAAGATGAAGAACAAGCTACTAGTGAATAGGATAAGGAGAAGCGTCAAGGGGAGGACGCCACTCTGCCGGGCGATCATGATACGGCCGTCGCAGAAAAAGCGGTTCTTCCCCGGGAAAACTTCCCATTTCCTGCGGACCTGTTTCGGTGTCTTCTCAGCGCATTGAGTCGGCGGTGGTGTCGGTGTCGACAGGACTTGCGGGTCGATTTGCCGATATTCGCAGTTTTTCATCGTCTGAATATATTTGTTTGCCCCAGTCAGGTGCGCTTAGTCGCTCACATGCGCCGCTGGATGGTGGACGTCCGGAGATCGGCTAAAGCGCAGCACAATGTTCGGAGTTACTCCTTTATTGATCATAAGAAACTATATCTAGTTAGTAGTTCCCAAGCCAGATGGGACTGGTTCTCACTATTAATACTGCTCGTTAAGGTAAACACGGATAATAGCAATGACGTGGACGGCTATTCGTGTCCGAGCGACATGAAGCAACTAACCAGTTTAACTAGCTGCAGAGGCAGCAATAAGCAAATGATTACGGCACACAGTTTCTGAAAACCCATCTGCATTAACAAAGCCTATTTATTTAAAAATCACAAAGTAAGTCGTTACCATGTCTACGTATAAAGTAATTGTGAAGATTGCTATCTCACGCTAACCGGCCCCAGAGCAGCCTCACTCAGCTTTGTTTACTAGCCAGCGGGCTGCCGGTTCCTGGAGGCGCCGGTTGGATTGGTCACCTTACTCCTCATTAGAAGGACACCCACAGCGAGCCGATAACATCTCCCACCTCGAACGGCTGCCTAAGCCCTACCAGAACACATATATCCTGAATAATGTGGTGAATCAGCACAAAAACAAACATATCAAGTACTGCCTACCAAAACGAACAGGTTTGCTGTTATTCGTCTGACTGCAGAAGCAGCTAACATCCAGCTAGTTTCCCACTACAGCATAACCAGCCTGCTAGCTAGTATCGTTCGATGATTCCAGATCATATAGGTAGTAAATGTGCTCCACTGCGATCATTTAGCTTCCCCACTAAGAATTCTCTGCACATACGCAAGCTGTATCTCGCTGGATCGGTTTCTGCCCTGGCTGTATTTATTTAAAAAACAGCAACATACTAGCTAGTTAACTAGCTAGCCTTCAAAATTGTTGGTGGGCTCTTTGTGAAAACCTCCGAGGGACAATGTACTCCTTAACACAACCCGTGGTTCAATGCAGGTTCTATGCCGTCTAGGCTGCTTGGTGATTCGCTGCCGAAATAGGAGCAGTGATTTACGACAGCCACCTCTCGTTTACGGCGCGTAGTGTGCCGTTCTGATTCTGATTGGATCTTCGGGAGATGAGCGTGATGATGACGACGACCATGACGTGTGTGTCTTTGGGGACCAAAGAGGTAGGAGGCAGACTTGTGCCAATGAATGAGCTGTACGATTTATTATTGTACAATCGAACTTTATGGATATATATTAATCTCCCTAAGCCAATAATCAAATTTAAATTTAATTTTTGAAACTGCATGTAGAAACATCCTTACTTTAAAGATAATCATAGGGCGCTTTCCCACTGTACCAAGTACCATACTTTCGGTACTTTCCCTTTTCCATTGACTTTTGGTGGAGTACCAGTACTGAAAGTGCCAAACCAGCTGCGGTACGTCGGTACTTTGGGGTGGGACTTGAAACACTATCTTTAAGTGACCAGTTTTTGCGATATATCATGTTCATGAGACATTGGGGCAGTATTGCATATTTAAAATCCAGGTGTTAGTGATATTTTGTCTAATGCAGACTTGAGGAAATATAAGAACCTTATCGCCAATGCACTACAAAAAGCTTATTCCTAGCCTCTCCAGGTTTTTAGTTCCACATGACTTTATGAATCAGTACCAACAGTTGTCAGTGAGTGGAATCTCCCTCTCAGCCACCTTTGTGTGGGAATAAAGAGATTAACTGGGCATCACCAGATCACACATGGCATCTCATAATGACTAGACAGCGTTCTAGTTGCTCTTTGTTGAACACCCATAAAATAACATCATTCTGAAAAGGGTTTAACAGCCCCAGAATAACTTCAAAAAATGGAACCGTGAGCAGATCAGGTTTCAGAGCCATTAAATAACATATGTCCATCTTCCAAATATGACCACAGGCAATCATTTTAAATGAATTGTCATTGGGTGGCATGGTGGTGCAGTGGTTAGCCCTGTTCTCCTTGTGTCATCGTGGGGTTTGCCCTCCATGCTCCAAAAGCATGCTGAGGCTAATTGGAGTTATCAAATTGCCTGTAGGTGTGCATGCTAGAGGGACTAGTATGTGTGTACCCTGTTATGGGTTGGCACCACATCCTGGGTTGCTCCCTGCCTTGCACCTGTATCTTGCAAGATCGGCTCCAGACCCCTGTAACCCTCAATAGGACAAGTGGTTACAGAAAATGGATGAATTATAATAAATGAATATATGATTAATAATATGTATTTTGTACAGTATGCATTGAAAGTAACATCAACTTGATTTTTATCAGTGCAGTGACACATGGCCCTAATGGGAAGATGTCACTGCTACACAAATTAATACTCACTATGCTGCTGTACATAAAAAAACCACAGCCTCAGAAAACATTCAGAGCACAGCAACAAAGGATTTTCGGTAATGCAATAATTTATGCGATGTATTGACCTTCAAATGCTGTATTTGCAGTATTTAAATCTTCGTTACGACTTGTCCTGCGATTGCATTAACACGTCACACGATGATATATACATTCATTTTCAAAATTACAACTACAGAAATAAGTTTACTAACCACATTTGCCAAATGCTCCCGTTAGCGATTTGCAAAAATGGAACCGTTCATTGCACGGTTGCAGCTTTGCTTCTGGGAACGTGGCCCTGTCTACCCACGGCACGTTACGTAAATATTTGTAGCGACGCACCGCTAGATGTCAGTGTAACGCAAGCTGAAGCTGGGATTATTGTACATCTAAAAGCGTTAATATATATTAATTATTAATAATGAGTCCCCGCCAACCAAGTGCTGGACCCCATATTCACATATCTTTTGACATTATGCTCCAAGTGCTGAGAAATCCATAGGCGACATGTAAATTAAGTTTATATCCCAGATCCACTGGTTCCCACAGAGTTTGCATTTGTGTAATCTAGTAAAGCTAAACCAATTTACAATATCCAAATAAAATATATGGGAAAAAAGTGCTGTGTACTACACGTTTCAGGACAGTTACTAGGCTTCAATAACATGAACCTGTTATTGTTTTGGAGCACGGTAAAATCGCTTTGAATATAACATATATTAAATATAAAGGAAGATACGGCACACCATCTGTGTATGCGGGCGAAAGCAGTTTTCAGGACGCTTACTATAAAAAGGTGAACTGCACGGCTGCTTTCTAACCATGACAGAACGAGGCTGCGTGTGTTTTTGATGATGTCGAAAGGCATTTTAATTTTTGTCCCATACTTTAGTGTGGGCAAGTTATATTATAAATGAAACGCTAACTTAGTAAGGCTTTTTGATTTTAGGTTACGTAGAAAACAATTTGACACACTTCTTCGTTAAACAGGTTTCTTATCTGCATTACAAAAAAATTGGGGCACTTTTCGGGCGAATGTAACTTTCAGTTACTGGATAACCTAACGTGGAGCTCTGGCACATCGAAATGTCGTGTAAATAATATTTTTACAAATTTTGGAGACATCTGAATTTGACTTCTGATATAATTTTCTCTCTACTAATTGAAAAAAAAAAATGTAATCCTACAGAGCTACAGCAGCAAGCACTATGCCCTTCATCAAATCATTTGGTGTAGAAAAGTACCTAAAAGTACCTAAACACCACCTAAAAGTACAATTAGGACCAGAACCGTTTTAACCAATCACCCTTCAATACAGTAAGCCCTAACCATCCAAATGAAGATACAAGTGAGAGCTGCTAACCCGTCAGCGAAAGTTTTTACTGCACATCCTGATATCAAATTAATAAAACATCACAAACGTCTTACGAAGATTTAATGTACATTTATTCTTAACACGTGGAACATATAGTATAAAGATTTCATACTGAATAAATGATATTCATTAAGCCAAAAAGGAAAAAGGAATTTACATCAAGTTTTTAGCTACATCATCTGTAATACAAATATGCAGAATTTATCTCACTGGGTGGGGGGATTGTGTTTCTTAATAATGAGCTGAAACTTTTTCCTTGTGTCTGGAGAGGAACTAAAAGGTGTTGAGCCTCGTCGCCCAGAGGAAGCAGCTGGCTGTGGGACAGCGGTCCACCCGCTGGGCACTGGGGGATGGGCAGGGCCCAAGTTAGCACATGGCAGGGCGTGATGCAAGGCTTTGACTTATGTGCAACCTTTTTTATTCATCAAAAGGAAAAAAGGGGGGAGAAGAGTTTCAGAAAGTGAGAAAAAGCGAGAGTGTAATGTACAACAATGTATATACACTGCAGCCTGGACTGCATCTAAAGTTTGAAAACCAGTCCTAAGAGGTGTTTTTTTTTTAATAAGGGACAGTTCGTACAGTTGAGGGATGAAGAGTAGAGGTCAGGGTGTTGTAGGTTCACAATACTTTGGGGGGAGGAAAGCCTTGTTCTCTCATCAACGTTAACTAAAAACATTTTTTTTAAACTACAGTTCTGTCTTGGAGCCAATGTTTCTCAGTGTCGAACAGTGTTATTACAGTATGCTTACACTTGTGCGGGTGTACAGTACAGAAATGTCTTATAGTCTTCTGTACAGGCCTCCCATTCAACCACATCTGCTCTCAACCCATTACCTGGATTCTGAGGGGCAGAATATAGATCTTACAAGTTTCAGAATTCATACCACAACAAAGTCCAGGAATCAGTTCTGCCTCCATTAATGAACCTTAAATCCCCCCCCCCCCCATGACCCCTGCAGGAGTGCCTGTAGGAGTTATCCCCCAAATTCACTGTAAACGAGACAGCAACTTTGGTAACAGTTTGGTTTTTGCAGGTTTTATTTATGTATTTTATTAAAAATGTCCTTCCTAATAGGCAGCTCGCTCCCCAAAGCCAACATTACTGGTTCCAAGTCGTTCACTTAAACTATGAGACAGTAATCATCTTTCCTGTTCTAAACATCCAGGTCTGAATCCACAGCTACTTTGTGAAATCCTTCCTTTAGTGAGAAGCGGGGACAGAGAGATCTCAATGGAATTTGAGGTGTTTTGCATAAATAATAATACATGGAAAAAAAATAAAGCCAGTTCTGCTCATAGCCGTCTCCGTTCACACATGACAGTAAAAGTGGGGGGTGGGGGGAATGAGAGGGCTGAAGCCCCAGCTACCCCTTCCACTGGGGTCACGACTGGCCAATCAGAAAGAGCACGTCACAGATGACATGCGACACCAGCGAGTTCATGAGCGGCGATACGGACAAGTCCAGCAGCCGCGACTCGTACAGCGTGAACTCAGAGCGGTTCTCCTCGAGCCGGGCCATGGCGTGCAGGGCTCGTGCCGCCCGCCGCATCATGTCCGCGCTGCTAGGCTCAAAGGGGGCGCCCTGGCTCTGGAGCAGCGCGCCGGGGCTCTGCTGGAACTGCGCCGCTGCCAGGCTGTCCTCCAGGAAGCCCAGCAGGTTTCCCACGCTGCCCTTCTGCATGGCGATGGTGCGCGCCGCCAGGCTGTCACCCTGCGCCAGATTGGCCAGGAGCACAACGGCCATTTCACGGCACACAGGCACCTTGCGCTCACCCACCAGCCGCACCAGCGAGCCGTAGAGCTTCTCCAACCGACTGAAGGGCGGCGTAGCCAGAATGAGGTCGACGTTGTTGTCCTGGATGCTGAGCTTGCTGAGGGTCTCGAGGACCAGTCTCTGGGGGGAGAGCGAGCCGTTCATGCCCAGAGTGGGGAAGGGGTCCTGGGCCTCGGCCGATGGGCACACGGCCCAGTGGAGCAGGCCATCCAGCAAAGGCAGGCAGATGCTCTCTGGGTAGACTGAGAGGTCCAGCTGGCCAGAGATGTTGGCCAGTGTGACCAGGCAGTTCTCACGCAGCAGCTCTAGGCAGTCCCACCACCACTGGTCCAGCTTGGGGTGGGCGCCGTCCTCCCCATCCTCGTCCTTCTCATAGGTAAGCGGCGCTTGCCTGCGCTCGGGGTGCCGGTGGTGCAGCAGCAGCAGGCGACCCAGCATGAGCAGCAGCCCCGGGTGCCGGGACATCTCCAGGTCGTTGCTGGGCACGAAGGACAGGCTGCGCAGCACATTGGAGACGCAGACACAGCGGCGGGCCAGCGCGTCCTGCCAGTCCGCCAGCGTCACCAGTGGCGCCTCGTCCCGGCTGTGTGGCTCATCCTCCAAGATGGTGATATGACTCTGGTTCTGCTGGGCTGAGCCCGTACTCAGGAGGAACTTATCGTTCTCCTGGTGTCGGTGGGCCTCAGAGCCAGGCCGGGCGGACAGCACGTCGTCCACCGTGGCTGTGGTGCTGGCTCCAGCCCCCATGGGGCTTGGCTTGTTGGATTCTGAGTACGTGGCCTCCTTGGGATCCATTGCGGCTTCTGCCACAGGGGGTTTCTTCTTGGCCACTGTGGGGGTGGGGGGCCGCCTGGAGGAGTGCAGTAGGTCACCACGGCTCTCGAAGTGGGTCTGGATATGCGCTGTGGTGTCGCCACCGCCCGCGCTCCAGTGCAGCAGCCCACTGTTGAACTGCTGGCATCGGCCCAGCTTGCCAGACCGTGCCACCATAAAGGGATTCTTCTTGCGTACCAACTTGATAGGAAACTTGTCAAATTTGCTTGCTTGCTTTGGCTTCTCCTGAGGACTGGAAGGTCCTAAGGAAGACGCCGTTGAACCAGGCTCCTTTGCAGAAGACCCTTCCTCCATGGCCTCCTCACCCTGCAACCTCTCATCTTTCTCCTGCTTGACCTCCCCCGGCTGCTGCCTCCCAGCTTCCTCGTCATCCTTCTCCTCCTCCTCCTCCTCATCTTCTTCACCCTCGTCCTCCAGGTTGCCCAGCTCCAGCTCCTCAGTCACATCCTCCTCGGAGCCCTCGTGGTCCAGGGCATCAGGGTCCAGGAGGGTGCGCTGCCCAGGATCACCCACCTCGTACTCTCTCAGGATGTCAAAAATCTCGATGAGGCAGCGTCGGAAGTACTCCACTACCAGCTCCAGGAAACCGGGGAGCTGGGAGAAGGACAGGATCAGAGGTCAGTCATTCGCTTGACACAGACACACGCACTCGAGAGGCTCCAGAACGCACCTGGCTGAGATTAAAGGTAGCAATGCTGCTGTCATCATACAGGAGGATGTTGATGGTGTCCAAGGCCCAGGTACTCTCAGCTAGCAAGCCAGATTTCAGTGACATCATGATTCTCCATGCCTCTGGGGTCCCTGCACACAACAGTCAACCATCAGAAGCTGGCAGTTTTATCATGACAATCAGCACAACCACCAGTCAGTCGATGATAAACTCGTTTTTTTTCTTCGGAGTATTAGGATAGGGTATTGGGGCTGAGTATGAGGACCAAGTATAGGGACAGTGTATTGGGACGGCGTATCAGAACCGGGTATATGTACGGCATATTGGGACCGAGTATCGGAAGCAAGTATCAAGACCAAGTATCGGAACCGAGTATTAAGATGGCATATCAGAATCAAGTATTGGATGCAAGAATCAAGACAGTATTTGGACCACGTATCATGATGGCGTATCGAAACCAAGTACCGGGAAGGTGTATTGGGACCAAAAATAATGATTATGTATTGGGACTGAATACTGGGACGATGTATCAGAAGGGCACATCGGGACTGAGCATCAGTACAAGTACAAAGACAATGTATTGGGACTGAGCATGGGGACTGCATATCAGAACGGTGCATCAGGATCGAGTATCGGGACGGCGTACCGATGTCCTTCACGGTGAGACGCCGGCGAGGCTTGAGGACAGGCTGAGTGGCCTCCACTGAGCCAGAAGGGAAAGAGACATCACGGCGAATGAGGGGGGGAGGCCCCGCTGCCTGGGAGAGATGTGAGGCTGGGACCGGAGGACCAGCCTTTTGCATCTTAATGCCTGAGTGCATGTAGGGGGACTTGCTCGGGGAGGTCCTGCTCTCCACAGAGCGGGGCATGGGAGTGGGACTGGACACCTGTGGAATGTGGTTCTGCATGGGCTGCGCTGGAGGGTAGCTGGGCTGCATGGGCCGGGTCATGGGGGGGCCATACGGGGCTGGCCGCTGGCCACCATGGCTGGGCCACTGAGCCTCGTGGTTCACCCGCTGATCAGAGGGCATCATCTCCTCGGAGCGGTTCAGGCCATGGTAGCCAGGTCCCGGCCCAGGGACAGTAGGACCTTGGCGGTTGGGGAAGCCGGGGTAGCCCATCTCGCCACGACCCTGCCACATTGCCCCCTGAGGGCCATCTGGGGCAGAGGGCATGGGGCTGCCCATCATCTGCGGTGGCATGGGAGGCTGGGAGTTGGGCCCAGCACTGGGCTGTACCCGGTCCCGGCCAAACGGGAAGGGGAACTGGGCCTGTGGGCCGGAGGGCCGGCGCTCTGAGCCTGGGTACGAGTTATACTGGTTGTACATGTCAGGCTGAGTGGATGGGGCTGGCGCCTGTGGACCCTGCTGCTGACCGCTGAAGGGAGTGCTGTACATGTCGCCGTCGTGCCGCTTGGCTGGCGGGCCATAGCCACCATCCACCGGCCGCTTGTAGCCCTGCACAAATGCACATGCGCAAAGACAGCCAGTTAACATGCGAGCACAGCAAACAGCACTGGAGCTCCAGGCCAGCGGTGGAAGCAGCCTCACTCACCGGCTGCTGCTGCTGTGGATACATTCCCTGCTGCTGGTTGGGGTAAGAGCCACCAGGGGGTGGTCCTTGGCTAGGATACTGATTACCATAGGAATCATGCCTGCAAGGGAAGGCAACAACTTTGCTTAACAAACGTGCCAGACACGGGCATAGTTCACATGAGCCTCCTGACTGTAGAGTGGCAGCCATCACTGACCTCTGCTGCTGCGGGGGGCAGCGGCTTGGGGAGTACATGCCCGCCTCGGCGTTGGAGGGCATCATGTTTGGCTGTGGTGCTCCCGGTCCAATGGGTCCAATGGGGCCATCGGGGCCAATCCCAGGGTCCTGTCTACTTAGGAACCCAGAACAAGGGCATGGTCTCATCAGCATGCCATACCCACGGACGACACCTGCAGCCGCATCTCATACAGACGCACGGGCAGACGCAGACACGCATGCACAAACACAGATGCACGCAGGCATAGACACAAACAGGCACATACACAGTACCCACCTGCGATCGTAGCCGGGACCATAGGGGTACTGTTGTCTCTGGTTCATCGGCATGCCGCCCATGGCCCCCGGAGGCCCCCGGCCATACTGCTCGCCCATGCTGCCGCTGGGGCCCTGCCCAGAGCCCATGAACTGCTCCCCAGCTGTAGGGACACACAGGCACTCGCTCTGTCACTGGCCGCTCTGCCACCCACCCCACACGGTCATCTGAGCGGCCACCACTCTAACACAGGGGCAGCTTTGGTGGTGCAGTTCATTGGACTGGGGGAAATGTCATCCAAAGCACAACAGAAAGCAGCACAGACCTAAAAGCTAGATGCTTTTTCTCTTTTTAAAAATAGCTATTTAGGTGGAGTATTTAAGTACTTAAGTGTAGGGAGGCCCTCACCTTTGCGCATAGCACCAAAGGGGTCCTTGTTGGGCTCGTAGGGGCCCATGCGACCCATCATGTCTGGGGTGCCCATGCCAGGCTGGTAGCCCGAGTTGGGGGTCATGGAGTTCCGTCTTGAAAAAGCAGGGTCTCCGCCATCTGCAAAGGGGTCTTGAAGGTTCACTGGCGTGCTCCTGAGGAGGGCCAGAGAGACAGTCAGCGCTGAACAGCAGGCTGCCAGTAGGGTGCGACTGTGCAGCATAGGGCTCACCTGACTCCAGGCATGGGGGCTATCTGACTGTGTGGGGTGGAGGCGGGAGTGGGGGGTTTGAGGTCTCCCCCTTCGGCCATGGAGCTGCTGGTGGACTGTGGGGTCTGAGGACCCTGCAGTGAACCGGATCCGGCTGCAGAGGGGCAGACATAAAAGCACATATGGGTCAAGCAGCATGCAGGCACTACGCACCCCCCCCCCCCCCCGGCAGCCACTACGCGCACCCCCCTCCACCGGCAGCCACTACGCGCACCCGCCAGGCAGCCACACTGCTCACATGCTTCTGCTCATTCTGCATATGGCAGGCAGGCAGCTGTATTCACGCCAACACAGACAGCCCCGCCCCCTTCATCGGGGGGCGTGGCTTGGTGATAGGGTTAGTTTACACGCAGTGACTCTGCTTCCATTCATCGTCTGCAGGGTGAAAAACAGCCCAGTCAGCTGTGCAGCCTTGTGTGTTGTGCCCCCAGCTGACCCCCCAGGGGAGTTAAGTATTCAGAATAAACCCACAAGTGCCTGCCAGGGTGCCAGGGGCATGCTGGGAATGTGTGTGTGTGTGTGTGTGTGTGTGTGTGTGTGTGTGTGTGTGTGTGTGTGTGTGGGGGGGAGGGGGGTCACACTGAGCCTGCAAACTAAGTCGGTCTTGCAAGCTCTGCACGCCCCCTGCTCTGCAAATGGTATTCTCTGGTCACACACGCCCACTGGCAGTCCCCTTTCACACACAGGAAGACCGTGGAGGCAAGCAGTACTTGAATGCACATGCTGTGAGAGGGTGCAAAAGCACTGGGATGGAAGGCAGCCTGGAGGCAGCAGGCCGTGGGACTCTGCTAAAGCATCCCGTAACACCTCAGGGAAATTCCTCTAACAGTGTCAGCAGTGCCACAGCACCACTAATGCCAGAGAAAATAGCCCACAGAAAGTGAGAGAGCATTATGCTACACCATCACTATCGCCGTCGGTAGGAGCTGCCAATTCCTTTACACCATTTTCTCATGGTTTGTCTTAAGGGTTTGCTGTTGACCCTGTGGACAGGGCTATAGCTGGACACTGGGCTTCACACCCACCGGGGGAGGGGGGCTGGATCTTGGCCTGGTTCTTTTTGGCGTCCGTAGTGAAGATGTCTGGCGGCGGGTCCTCGCCACGCTCCACCTTGCACTCGAAGGCGTACAGACACTGGATGTACTGCTTCTTCAGTGAGCTGGCGGCGCTGCTGGACGTGCCCACGTTCAGGTTGGTGGCCAGCTCCCGCCACTTCTTGTTCTTATTGACCTGCAAGAGAGCGTTAATGTCAGCAAGTCAATAAGACCGGGGGACAAAGACACAAGCCACTTGAGCAACTCGATAATCACACAGTCCGGCTGAAGCAGACTCCTGTATAATGCAGGGTGACCGTTTGCGCTGTATGTCAGCCACTGTGAGGCCCCTCCATGGAAACGCATGCACACCCACCTGTGTGAGGCCACCAATCTCCTTGACAGAGATATAGAGGCGGAACAGGTCAAGTGGCTTGCGGCCAACGGCAGGCAGGTTGTTCATGCCCATGGCCTTCTCCTCAGTGAATGCCAAGTACCGATCCACCCACACCTTGCGCTCCGGTTCAGGACCCAGCTCATACAAGCGAGTGATTTTCTCATTGGTGGTCGTGGAAGAGCTCGATTTCTAAGACAAATAGAAAGGGTGTGCATGAAGACAGGCTATGAACTTGGCATGACCTCTGGCGGCACCTAGAAGCCACCTGCTCAGTCCCAGGGGGCTCACCTTCTTCGAGTCACTTTTTGGGGTCCCATCCGCTTTGCTGTTCATCTTCTGAGCTGGGTTCAGTTTGACATCCATCCCAAACTCTGGGCTGGGAGCCATGCCTGAGGGCAAAGACAGGCATGGATTTATGGGTACAGGGAGCAGAGCCGCACAAGGCCTTGGAGCCAGCAGGGGGCAGTACTCACCAGCAGCATTGGCAGCCATGTTGCCGCCCATGGGGTAGGGGCCGCCCTGCGGGTTCATCATGGCTGGCATGCTGTTCATCGCAGGTGCATAAGGGGAACCAGCACTCATCACGCCCTGAGGCATGTTGGGGTAGCCTGGTGGTCTGGGGAGAAGGGCATGCTTTGTCAGCACTCCTGGGACATCACGGCATCTGACAGCTTACACCTCTCATGTTTGAGGTGCTCGCCCATTTATGCAGCTAGACATTATTACTGAGGCAAATCAGGGAGGAACATTGCCTCTTCACAAAAGAGCAGTTCAGCTGATGTAAGTACTACTTGAATTGTTAGCCCCACCCTGCCCTGCTTCACTCACTGTATCTTGCCCTGCCTCGCACTATCCTCCCTTGCCCCCAATTCGCTTCAGCGTGCCCTGCCTCACCTCACTGTACCTTGCCCTGCCTTGCTCTGCCCTATCCTCCCTTGCCCCCAATTCACTTCAGCGTGCCCTGCCTCACCTCACTGTACCTTGCCCTGCCTCGCTGTACCTTGCCCTGCCTCGCTGTACCTTGCCCTGCCTCGCTGTACCTTGCCCTGCCTCGCTGTACCTTGCCCTGCCTCGCTCTGCCCTATCCTCCCTTGCCCCCAACTCGCTTCAGTGTGCCCTGCCCCACCTCACTCTACGCTGCCTCACCCTGCCGTCACTGCCTACGACTACACTCAAGGGTCCTGCTCCTGCTGAATTACACTGCATCTGTGCCTCACTGCCAGCTGTAGGGTCAGCCTACAATAGAGAAACAACCAATTAGGAGAAGGCTACCTCACAGTCCCCCAAGGGGCCACCTGCCCCCCGCTTAAAGCTCCTTCCCATTGGCACCGGGCTCAGGTGGCCTCCTGACTGGGTGGACGAGCTCACCTGCTGTGTATGGAGTTGGTGTTGGTGTGCTGCATGCCCGCAGCTTCCGGAGGCTTCCTGTTCAGATTGCCGGGGGGAGGACACATCCCTGAGCCCACTTGGGAAGGCATGCTGCCCATGTTGGGGCCCATGCTAGGACCCATGTTGGGACCCATGCTGGGACCCATGCTGGGACCCATGTTGGGGCCATAGGGACGGGCCCCCATCTGTCCCGGAGCCATCCTTCCCGGGGGCATGCCAGCATATGGAGGCCCTCCTCCCGGCCCCGGCATGGGGCTCATGGAGCCAGCCGCCATGCCAGGGCCCTGGTAGTTAGAGTTGGGCATGCCACCATAGCCAGTCTGCCGGTATGCTGCCAGGAGGGGACCCCACAGAAAAGTCAGGTTACACACGGGATACACACAGGATGCACACAGCTCACGCATGTAGACAAAGCAGTGGGGCTGCTCTCATCAGGCCTGCTCTCATCAGGCCTGAGACCATAATACATAGACAAGAAGAGAGGCGATGGAGACCTGAGCAGGCCCAGAGGAGTAAGCAGAGCTCCGTGCTGCCAGGGCTCACCTTGCGGCCCATACTGGGCACCCTGAGGCCCGTAGCTGTTCTGTTGGTAAGGTCCCATCCCAGCATGCATCTGTGCGCCCGAGGACTGACGGGGCGATAAGGCAGAGCCAGGCTGGGGGGAGCCATATGGAGCCATCTGTGGGTTCCTCATGAACACTGGGAAGGAAGGCAGAGATGGATAAGCTTCAAGGTGCCACACCTATCCAGCTGAGCACTAAGTATGTTGTCACTGAGGCACAATCAGGCACAAGGAGCGGCCAAGAGGATAATGAGAATGTATGGAGCAAGAAGTGAAGCTTCATCACCTCTGTCCTGGCCCATGGTCGACTGGTTCATGGAGGGATGCAGGATTCCATCTGACTGAACACTTGGAGGACGTGGGGGCATCTGGTTCCCTGGGCGACAGCAGAGTCAGAATCACTCTCAGGCAGGCAGCCTGTTAAGGGGCTGTGTGTGTGTCTGCGTTATTATAGGGACAGTACCAGCTGAACTGCTGAGGAGCAAGTGTGCAGTCAGGCAGGCAGCCCGTTATGGGGCTGCATGTGTCTGCATCTGCGCAGCTATTAGGGAAGGGAGGGTCTACCTGGCACAGCAGCTGGGGACAGCGGGCCGGACCGGGACGGAGTGGTGCTGGCAGGGGAGCCCACAGGAGATGGCGAGGGCCCCCGGATTCCGGGCAGGTGGGGGGAGGTGTGGGGGGAGAAGGGAGATTGGGCCGGGTTGCTCTGCTCGCCCTGGCTGCTGGACACCCCCGAGGTGCTGACGCCAGGGCTCAGGGCCCCCTCGGCACCCGTGGGTAGGTCGTCAATGGAGCCAGACAGGTCCTGGGGGAGAGGAGAGTACAGGACCGGCGCTCAGTGGGAGCAGGGGAGTGTGGGAGAACCCAGGCAAAGGCTGGAACTTTGCCCGGCAATGCAAGGAGGCGCAAGCTCAGGTCCAGTCTGCACACTGCAGGAGATGCTGCCCTTTGGTGATCAAACAAAAGTGCCACTTCTTTTGAATCCTGATGAAGAAGATTCAAAAGCCTTAGAAAGTCCTCAGTTATACTCCAAGCAGATAAAAAGACAATGAAAGTTCACATGTGGCAGACGTTGCCAGTGCACTCCAGCGTGCAAACAGCCTGAAGGTGTGAACACTTTTCTTACCAATGCTGTGTGTTTGCTCATGTGTACAAGCGTGTGTGTGTGTGTGTGTGTGTGTGTGTGTGTGTGTGTGTGTTTACCAACCCGGCCTCACGTGTTTCCCATGCGATTCTCAGAACAGAAAAGGTTCATCTGACCGTCAGAACGGGAGCTGGAAACGGGGCTGCTGGAAGGAATGCTCTCACAGAGAGGCTCCCGGTTCCACTGCTATTTCTGGGACGTGACCCGAGTGTGGATCCCCAGAGGGAGAGGCACGGGGAGGACACCGAGGAAAGGCCTACTGCGGCTGAGCCAAGCCGCCTGGAGACTGCTACATACAGAGGAGGGCTGTGGCCAGGAACGAGGATAGGGTCAAGATCGAGGCTGTGGCATGACAGCAGGACCCAGGAGCAGAAGACGGGAACACAAAGGATGCACTGGGACGACAGCAGAGGGGAGGAGCCAGTGGAGAAGCAGCTGGCTAGAGGCCGTCATCGAAGCATCGGCCAGCCCCGATCATACCAAGCTAGGAGGTAGATCATGGCCCTCACAAGCGGCACGTGCTGGAAGGGGGAGAGGAAAGAGCAGGAATGTGTGTCACGCTACGTCTTCAGCTTAGCAACACGAGCAAAGATGCATGAGCAGAGAAGGCAGCAGAGGGGTCAGTGCTGTCAGGCTCTAACAGCAAGCCCATCCCTGTTATTCTAGTGTATCCCCATGGCAGAAGTCTGTGACCCAGCTACACTGAAGCTGCATAAGAAGAAAACACGTCCTGGAGCACCGTAGGTTAAAGGCCTGGTCTGAACCTGAGTGAGATTCTGTAGGAAGACTGGGGAACATCAGCAATGCCCAAGCAGCACGACGGGGCATGAGGCAACCTGCCAGGATGGATGGAGATGCCACCCCAAGCAGCACGATGGGGCATGAGCCAAAACTGCCAGCACGGGTGGAGATGCCACCCAAAGCAGCACGATGGGGCATGAGCCAACCTGCCAGGACGGGTGGAGATGCCACCCAAAAGCAGCACGATGGGGCATGAGCCAACCTGCCAGGACGGGTGAAGACGTCGCCCCAAGCAGCCCGACAGGCCGTAAGCCAATCAATTTCCACACTTGCATCACCTCAGACTTTTTTCACCCCCTTCACATGCCCTGCCCCCAATATACAGCACCAACATAATGAAGCAAAAGGCAGCATCCAAGCTTTGCAACCTGGCCCAGTCTACATTCTCCCCCCACAACTCCCCTCACCCGCCTCACATCCACAGGCCCTCTCCTTAGTCATCAACCGGACCATAAGATGGCACTATCGGCCTGCTGAAGGAAAGTCGCACTGAGCATGAGCAATGGGAGAAGCAGCCCCAGCACCTCAGCCCCACGGCCCTCATGCGCCTCGGCCTCCTTACTATCCTACAGCAGCACAGAGCAACACTTCCCTGTTTGTGCCAGGTCCAGCATTCCTCGGTACTAACCTACACTGACTGCTACTGTATCTTTAGTCGGGCATTTTGCAAGAAACAGTCTGAGGCTAAAGAGAAGCAAATCCATAAGCTCTCGGCCTCACAGGCCGTTCGTCAGCAAGAGTCACTGCCCACTTTCCACAGTCACCTCCAGTGATAGCTGGGAACAAACTAGCCAAGACAGGACAGGAGAGAAAGAGAATGATGATGCACAGGCCACTGAATGACAGAGGCAGCTCTCAGTCAGTAAATACCATCCTGTGAAACAAGTCACTTCAAACCAACAACAACCACAAACTCCAGAAACACTGCGCCTCGGTCTGCAGGCCAGGACCTCCACCCATCCAGACACAGGGTGCCTCTCCTCACATCTCCCCTGGGACAAAAGCACCCCCTGCTGGCAGGGGCCTGATTCCTACACAGATTTGCATCCAAATACAAATCTGCCTGGCAGCATGGGAGCTGCATCTGACAGCAAGAAGCCAAAATAGCCCAGGGGCCCCCGCTGACTCCCAGCGCCCACTCCCAGATCTAAGGGCCCCCATGATCCCCAGGGCCAGCTCGCAGCTCCTGGGGCATACACGGACACAGGGACCCCCAGGGGCAGGGGCACACACACCTTCAGAGCTGGTAGTGCCACCTTGCTCGCAGGATGGGCTCTCGATGGGGCCCCATGGCATTGATGGCATGTGAACAGAGTGCTGCGTTACGGCTGTGCTGCGTTACGGCTGTGCTGCGTTACGGCTGTGCTGCGTTACGGCTGTGCTGCGTTACGGCTGTGCTGCGTTACGGCTGTGCTGCTTCACCTCCCCAGAGGCCGCTTGGGTTAGAAGCCGCGTTGCAGTGGGCAGCTCACATGCTTTATAGATCACAGCACATCAGAAGCACCGCAGCCAGATTTCATTTAAACTGTACGGCAATTAACAAACTCGACTTAATGAGCCAAACACAAACTTAAGTGCCACTTGATGAATAATTCAGGCATGAACATTGATTAAAATGATGACACTTAACATCGTACCAGTCTGCGAAGGCAGCTCAAAACAATCAGTTTACTCTGTGATTGTACGAGGAGCCACTTTCAGAGCGTCAGAGCGACAGGCGGAGGGAAGCCAGCACCAGATGGGCACAGGCACCTGGGGGGCGCTGACGGGCACACCGAATACCAGCACACATATGCAAAGGGATACCCCCCCCCAGCTGAACCCACACGCATCCCCGACAGCATGCATGCGCGTCATACATATATTACGTTGCAGGGATCAAATGTCCCCACAATGTGATAAAAACCTGTTCTTTTGACATTGTGGGGACCGCCTTTTTGATCCCTACGTGGGGAAACTGAATTTCAGAAAAATTTGTCACTGCAATTAAAAAACTAAAAACGCTAAGTCTGTTTGGTTAGTTGGATAAAGTTTAACATTGTCACAGCTGCGATTAGAGTTCTTCCATTAGAAATGAAAGGAATGTCCCCACAAAGATATGAATACACGTATGTGTGTGTGTGGGTTTGCATGGATCACATTTGAGGATCAAATTGTCCCCAAAGTGTAGTAAAACCTGAAATTTCCCTACTTTTGGGGACATGTTTTGAGGTCCCCATTTGGATAACCTCAGGTTTTATAAATGTCTGTGAATGCAATCAAAAAAGTAAAAATGCCAAAAGTCTTGTATTTGGGTTGGTTACTTATGGTTAAGGTTAGGGATGGGTAGAGGTTAAGGGTGTTGTGATTGGAATTAGGGTTGTTCCCATAGAAATGAATGGACGGTCCCCATTTAGAAAGGAAGACCAACGTGTGTGTGTGCGTGTGTGTGTGTGTGTGTGTGCCCAAGCAACATCCACTAAAGCACGGATATTCAAATCACAGTCCTCAAGGGTCAAGCACTGCTGATTTTCCTTTACCCATGAGCCAGGTGTGAAGCATCTGTGGCCAATTAGCATCAGTAATTATTAAACTAACTACCTGGGAGAACTGAAAACATGGCCTGGATTTGGAATTGAGGGTCAGATTTGAAGTGCCCTGTTCCAAAGCAGCAACCGGGGGAGGGGTGGAGGAGAAGGCGGGGCCAGGAGCAGCTGACCCCTCCCACAGAAAACACACACTCCAATGCAGGAAGCACATGGCCTAGAACAGTGGCCTGTACTACGAAGCGGGGTTACTGGCCTATCGGGGTAACTTGTCGAATTTAAGGTAGTCTGGGCAAAACGTAAGTGAACGAATATGAAGTCCATTTAAACTGTGGTACCTTAAATCCGACAAGTTACCCCGATAAGCCAGTAATCCCGCTTCGTAATACAGGCCACAGCAGCAGCACAGACAGCAAGCACTGCGACCACACAGATGGCTGTGTGACACGCTGACATGTGAGCAGGCCTTGCCCGTCACCAAAAGAGGTGAAACCTCACGTAAAGAGCCACAGTCCCACTGCAGAGCTCAAAAAGCCTCTACCTGCACATGCCAGAAGCAGCCTGAGAAAAATCACTCATGGAAAAATTTGTTCCCCCCATCAAAAAATACTGAAGTTCTGTGAAATATAAGAACAAGATGACAAAAAGTATATTAGATAATCAGTCAATAAATAGTAACAGTGTCTCTGAAGAGCCTTCAGGTTCCACAGCCGGGTATCAAACTTCCAAACCGCAGTGCCACAGCTGTGCTGCACATTCTAATATACAGTGGTACCTTGGAACACAAACTTGATTCATTCCAGAAGGCTGGACGAGTTGCAATTTGGTCAAGTGCCAAGTCAAATTTCCCCAAAATAAATAATGTAAATGAATTTAATCTGTTCCAGACCCCCAAATGATTGCCTATTCAAACTTACCTACCTACCTAACTAATGATAAAAAGCATTAACAATCAATAAGCAGCTAATACACACATAAAAAAGCACACATACAAAAGCGATAAAATAATGACAATCCCGTATCCCAAAGCGAGAGCAGACTCACACATACCACCTTCAAGTCTCGCTACAATTTCCTTTTTAAGTTCTACAGTTACTCTCACTTTCCTCTTTGGTTTGCTGCTAATCAATGCTCACTTTCTTTGGGGCCATGATTACTGTATCACTTAATATGCTGTAGATAAAGCAAAAAAATATATATTCACACCGAACACAGAAACACAGCTCTTGCATGTTGAACTCGGTTAAAGAGGTACCGCGAGACTGAGAACGATTCATATTCCCATCCCATTATAGGACCGTCTGCCTTTGTTTCAGCCCATCAGAGACGAGTCTAGATCTGTTTTAGCAGGTCTGTTTTGTTTCGTCAGGTGGTGAGTTTGCGGTCGAGTTTTGGTTAGATCTTACTAAAGTTCCAAGATAGAGGTCATGACAACAGTGTGAAAGATAGTGAACGGTCAAAAGTGCAGTTTTACTTTATTAAAAACAATTGACACATCAAACCTATTCTTAAAATGACAGGACTGCTGACATTACTTGTCGTAAATCGCTGCTGTTTTGGCCAAAGTCTAGCTATTGCCCCAGGAGTCGGCCACGGCGCCTTAACATAACGTCATTATCTCCATCAGTGCTTGGCGCATGTGCTCAGGAAGTAGATAATCAGACAAAAATGCATTCTCCTCCAAATAATACAATAAATCAGAATTTTCATAAAATACATACAAAATCACAACATGCGTCTATTTTTTTCCTCTCAAAGCAGATTTTCTGAAGTGCATGACAACAACCTAAATAACTCCTCCTTTATGTCAGACGGACTTAATAAAAATACCATCACAAACCTCAATGTGTCCTCTTTCAAGTATCCCCGCTCTCAACAAACACAAGCATCTCTTTTATATGTAATTATTAAAATAATCAACTTACATGTTTCTTCATGGCGTCTTATCTGTGGACACGCCCATGAGTGCAAGCTGCTACTGATATGCCAACGAGTTCATTCAAGGCAGATATAAGCCATATGCAGAAACACCGATCGAGAACAGTAAGCAAAATCAGGCAGTTTTGTATTTGCTATTTTTACAATGGCATGCTTCCTTTTTCCGACCGAAGAAGCTCTGCAACAAGTTCAATCATTTCTCGACAGCAGTGATGAAATTAATTCATCCTCCAATGAAGACTGCGACAGCAATGAGGACTGTTTTAAGAAGACATTATTTTAAATACTGGCACAAAACAAGCTGATTGTTCTTAATCGTGCTAAAATAGTTCTTGATTTCTCCATTCTGCTATACTTACCCTTCCTATTGTTTTCAACACACAGATAAACTACAAATTATACATGTTTTCGTCTTGTTTTACACTGACATTCGGCACTAGTCAGGCCCATTGACAGGCTGATTTGGGTAAGGGGAGTTCCCCAGGTGAATGTCATTCATATTCATGACCACAGCTGTTTGCCGAGGTAGTTCAGTTATAGCTCTCTGTTTATAAAACTAAAAGGAATTTGTGAATGACTTGCAGGCAGGTGCTGTGCACTGAATGCACTTTAGTTAGCATTTTACTCTCATTGCTGCTGGGACATTCTGAATGTTCGGAATAAAGACATTTTTGTTAAACATTTGTCCTTTTTTACCTTTGTGGAACCTAAATGGGGAATCGATAACAACCGGAATCAATAAGCAAAACTGAAAGTGAATCGGCATCAATGACATTCAAACGATACCCGACCCTATTTAAATGCGTTCAAGTTCCAAAGTTCTACTGTATATATTCTTGGATACTACACACAAAATTTACAAATCACACAAGAGAGAAAAGCACTGCAATCAGAACACATCCGATAAAACAAAATAGAAAAAAGAAAGACAGCTTTAATGTCAACAATTGTTCAAAGTTAGAGCCAGAGAACTAGCATCCTGTGTCTTTGGTAAACTTTCAAAATGAAACTAAATTCATTCAGACTGTTTATATCAGCATCTTCCGTCATTTGGTTAAATCTAAACAGCCATACAGTTATGAAGTCTCATCGGTTTCACCAAAAGACGGCAAGAGTGTGAGTGAGCCAACTTCACAACCATGACTGTGAGCTTTCAAGCTGTTACCATCTTGTGTAGATGTAATATATCCCAGACCACTAATTCACCACAGTTTCATTGTCAAATGAACAGCTCCATAAGCCCCTGTGCTGTGATAAAAAAGGATGATTGATCACTTAAATCTCCATGGCACAAGTTTATAGAGCCCTGGGTGCAGGAGATGAGAGTCAGCATCGTATGGCGCTTTTCCACTGGCATACAGGAACCACGCCACACTCGAGCCGTACCGCGAAGAGAGGATGGTTCCAGCTCACATGGTTTTCCTACTGCAGACGGGTCGGCTCAATAAAGGCGTTGCCGAGTTTGGAGACCGACAGTGAGATAAAACCAGAGAGACTCATTGCTGTTCACACTGTCACCATAAAGATTTACTGTGTTAATTTCTGCTAGCAAGTCTGTAAGAATCACCATGTTATGTTAGCATCAAAAATTAGGAGAATTACGATTAACTTGCACAAATTTACATTCGGATTCCATTTGTATTTCACATGTACGGTACTTTTTCAAGTAGGAGGTCGGAAATTTTCAAATTCCAATGTATTGGGAATACATCAATACATCGCAATGTGGAATATTACTAATAATGAATAGTATTTGCCCTTTTTCTTTCAGATAATCTAAGTATACTGCCACAGAACACCAGTATCTCCATGTATTTCAACCAATCAGATGTCGGTGATGCAATCAGCTGGATTTAGTCATGCTTTCGGCTCTGCCAGTAAGCAGGGCCATATCAGCGTGGGTACAGCTCACATACAGCTTGCACAATTTACAATGGAGAACCGTCTCTTAGTGGTACGGCTGGGTTCTTCGTGGTAGTGGAAAAGTGCCATTAGTCAAGGCAGGTAAGTCAATACCTACTGCCTCGCTGGAACCAGGGCAGAGCCCAGAGGTGCACGCACACCTTACAGTGCAGCTTCAGATGGCCAAGGGGCAATAAACAAGATGGGGAGGGGGGGGGGCAATGTAGCCATCGGCGCCGACAGCTTGCTCACTCACAGGTCCACTTTCAGAGAGAAGCGAACACTGGGATGAATTTTAACAGGGAAATTGTATGATGGCGCCATTTAAAGGCAACTCCTCAGTGATGGAGGAAGGCGACATCGGGCTGAAACGTGAGAGGCCAAAGGTCGTTCTGCGCCGACTTGCTTGGTGAGGCTGCATGTGGACACTCACCGGAAGGCTGGAGGGCCGTCCAGGCAGCCCGTCCTCTGGGCCACTCTTGCTCGATGCCATGGCCTGGCTGTTGGTCGGTGTGCTGGACTGTGAAGTGAACGAGTCCTGGGACAGCTCCTTCAGTGGGGGAGGGGGTACATACATCATCATTGGGCACCTCTATGTGTTTCAGTGTTTGTCTGACCATCCACCCCCCATCCAACTCACTCTCCCCTGTCTGCCTGTCTCTCCCCCAGTCTCTCCTGTCTGCCTGTCTCTCCCCCAGTCTCTCCTGTCTGCCTGTCTCTCCCCCAGTCTCTCCTGTCTGCCTGTCTCTCCCCCAGTCT